GGATAATAATTTTAAAATCCAAATTAATTAGAAAATAGTTTGGCCTCACACATATCAAGCATGTCACATGTGAGAACAATTAAGCATGTCACTAAATTCTCTTTCAAGTCATAGCATAATATAACAACATTATAACATAACAAAGTTCCTAATGCCAAAAAGGCCCCCACACTCCTATTTATGATGCCAAGATGACGCCAACAAGTGGGTGGGGTCCGGTGACGGCCAAGGGGCTGGGCGTTCCGCTTTTTAAATCACTGATGGGTGCACCCCTGTAGCGTATGAGGCTACTCCAATACAAAGGTCCTCTCATAGCATATGTGCACCGGCTCTTCTAAGTTGGGTTATACTATAGAAGAGTGGCTTCCCATGCGACTGTAAGTGCACATGCCATGGAATGGTCTCGTGCCAGGGTACGAACTCATGTCCCATAAGTCTTGACCATTCCATACAGGGCCGTTTCTTGACAAACACTCAAGTTCTATTGTACTCAATTGGATTCTCCAAGCCCTGGCAAATTACATCAAACCCGAGGCATCCTAACCTACATATATATCCTTGACTTAGAGATGACACTCACACCTCCTTGAGAGATTGGTCTCTCTCTCAAAGTGTAAACTCTCATTGCCTCATGTACTCGAGGTATGAGAATTTCGGCCCCAGTTTGCCAAGCACCCAAATTCTATTTCTTTCACTCACTCCCATTAAGCAAATGACTTTTGGCATTAAGGCCTTGAAAGGCAATATAGCCAAAACGTATATGGTAATTTTCTAGTTCATGCTTTTTTTATTCAATTGCATCTTTTATGTAATTTTCATATCTATGTTGTGAGTGTAATCTTGTTTTAATGGCAAGAAAGTGAGAGTCCTTGGGATTTTATTTGTTTCATATATTGTATTTGAGCACTTTTGAATGATTTGGGTGGCAATATAAAAGAAAAGATAGAAAATTTTTAATCAATATTGACTTGCCCGATCACATAGTCCACCTTTCACAAACCCCGCCCCCCTTTCTAAAAGGCGGGAAAAGGGTCTTGGGGTGCATTCTTGCTTACCAAAACCTCTATTGTATGTCTTTGAGAAAGAAAATTTCTAAAAATCAATCGATTTTGCGAATTTTTTAGAGATTGAAAAAACTTCAACTTTTTTTATTTCTTGCAAAATCGAAAGATACTTCATGATACTTTTTGGAGCTTGGATTGGTCATCTGGGAGGACTTTTGGTGACCAGAGATCACCTGGGCCGATACGGGCTGCATTTCGAAAAGGTTAGTGCATTAGAATATTGAGTTGGGGTTTGGAACTTTTTTGTATAATGTGTATGATTTGAATCATTTGATATTCTTTTACAAAAAAAAAATGATATTCTTTTACAAGATTTTTTTTTTCTTTTGTGATATGTTTAGGCATTACAATATTGTATTAGAATATTGCATTACAAATTCAATAAGTGTTTTAGAATATTGCATTACATATATGTGTTTTTATCTTTTTGACTTTTGATGACCAACTTACCCCTTTGTGACTTTGTGTATTATTTCTACAAATTACATTTGGGATTTGATGCATTTTGATGTGTCTTTCAATCTCTCTGTATATCTAATACTTTGTTTTTTTTTTTTTATCTCGAGGGGTTTGGGCCTCTAAAATCGCCCTAAGAACCTACTAGGCCTAAACCCCTGCTCTAAGAAGTCCTTTTTTGTTTCTTTGGGTTGGGGACATTGCTCCCAACCAAGGGCCTAATCCTGCTCCAGAAGCTCACTCCAACACTCCCGTGAGGGGGATCTCACTCCTCCGTGATTTTTTATCTTTAGGATCTCAATCCTTTCTATAAGGGATCAAGATGCTGAGATACACAGGATCCAAAGTCCTTTGCATCATAAATCAGGGTTCATAGGTAAATTGAACCAAGGTTCCACCAAGGTGTGATCTTGATCCCCTGGTAGATTCTGGTCATGAGTTCAAACCTTGAACTTGAACTTAATGCTAAATAATATCTTATTTTACATAATTAGTTGACATTTTTAAGTATTATATAATATATTAGTTGCATGTTTTGTTCACACACATAATTTTCAATGGTGGTGGTAGACCATGCTGTCCGTTTTGGGCTTTTTAATAGGTCACAAGTTACCTTGAGTTTCAACTAGATACTTATCTTGATACTTTTTATTCAACAAAGAAGATGGCATGATTGGTATTATGTTACATGAAATCATAAACAACACCCACAGAATGCAAAAACTAAAATATTAATAACAATTCAGTTTCCTTAATTTTTTATAATGTTTCAATTTCTTTTAAAAAATCAATTACTTTACTAAAAATATATACCAAACTCACATGAATACAAAAATACGAAACTATTACTTAATGAGTTACATTTTTTAATAAAATTTTGAAATTTTAAAATTTAATATTGCTTATAATAATATATGGACTATGCTTCCGACCTAGACAACCCTAGTTAAGCACATTAGAGAAACACAATTTTTAACCAGAAGGAGCTCAGACTTGTAGAATTTATTTGATCCCTAGAAGTTGGGAACTCGATCCCTAAATTTTGGGGTGTATAAGGACGACGATCCCAAACCTTGGGAACATCAAGCCTTTCATGATCCCTTGCTCCCAATCCGATCCCTGAACTGGTCTGGCCCTGGTCACTGTAACTACGCTAATCCACCCAGAGCCACTGGATGCCAACTAGGGAAGGGTGGTGAAATGGTGGGAAGGCTTGGGCTCCAGTTAGACTTAAGAGACAACCCTGTTTTGGATGGGATTCACCTACCTCACCTCTACGCTGCCACTTTTGACTGCAATGGCTTCCGTAGGTCACATAATCCATGGACAGACACATTATTGACACAAAGTGCTTTGGCCAAAGAGGAAAAGAAAGAGGCCTGATTGATATGTAACATGCTCATAATAAAGCTTAGGTTATAACATGAAACTGCAGCTTTCATTGTCATACAAAAAATTGTGATAAAAGGACAATCCTGGAGACTAGGACCCCAAGTAGCTAAGCAATTGAACTACATTAAATATCATGGCTTAGTCCTTTAGTTTACATGTCGTAAGTCCTTATGTGTACACTGTAAAAATTGGATTAGGACAAACTATAAATAGTTCATAAGAAAAACATAATGGAGAAGAATAGTCTACAATATTTCATTTATCAACAGCCAAATTGACTTGGTATCCCACGGGTCTGAATGACATGGCATCCATGAAGGTTCAATACCTGCTCATTTCCTATAATGTCAGTTCAGGCTAAGGCAAAAGTGAAAGATAGGCATGAATTATGGGGAATTGGGAGTGCAGTCCTAAAGTAGTGTAATGGGAGAGACATCTAGTCATGTAACGTTAGAAGGGGAGGTTCTCCATGATAATGTTGAGTGTTGTCCTGATGAAAGGAAATGATGAAAAACCCAAACATTAGGGAGTTCTGAACCTAAAAGTGTACCACGAGAGAAAAGCATGGGCTGGGAACCCGAAGTGCAGAAAGAAAGATAAACAGTCTATGCAAGAAGTCACACCAGAAATAGGCACTATTAGCTGTCGGCATTTATAAAGACATGAAAAGAACATGCCCGATACCTTCTTTTTGGTAGATAGAACAGTCAAATACCCTATACATAAGCAAGTCTAATTGAACGTTTCTCGCTACCAAAAGCCTTGCTTCACTATGATTCTGCAAGCAAAAATTGCTTGTAGGGAGGCATTGGCAAGGTCCATAGTATACGGTGCACACATTAAGCATGTCATTATTGTTTCCTTATCTTCTATGGCAAATATTTAAAAAAAAAATGATTGTCCACCTTGCCAATTAGAGTGGAGAAGTAACTACAGTGAGAACTATAGGGAGGAAAGCAGACTTTGACTAAGATTATTTAACAACTGATTTTAATTTTCTCTGTAGGTGCTAAGGCACGTACCCATTGTTGGCATGGTTTGGTCTAATAAATACGACACAGCAAATGACAGGTACAGATGCATGCATATCAATTGATATTGTGTCTCGGCCATTTTTGTAGTTTCCTATCTATAGGAGTAAAATGCACAAAAAATGAGGAGCATGCCCTAAAAAAAGAGAAAATTAAGAAAGCCACATCTTTTCCCTTTAAAATAGAGGCCAACAACCCTGCTCATATATCTTCGCAGTTCGCACTTTCAACTCAATAACTAGACATTCCCATTAAAATAGGAGATAGAAAATAAGAAACCTAATAAAGAGTTGCAAGGCATAAATTGTAGGCAGCAAAATAGCAATTATCCAATGTCATATTACAGGCAAATTGTGAAGGGGCACTTTATTAGTTAAAGCACCACCTAACACAACACACAAGGATGTTGGCCCTTGCTCAAATGTCAACATAATTTCAATGCATTGAAGAGAAAGTTCTTGTGCTTCCCATTTAAGTAATCTAGTTTGAAGACACGGTAGCAAGTGTTATTCTCTTGATTAGTAGCAAGTATAAAAAGCATAATCCTTGATGAATGTGTATGATATGCTCTTTATCTGAAACATAATGTTGTTTGACAGGTGACTTGGCAAATTTACCAATGATAGTTTTTCATAATTCGTATAGCAACAATAAACTGTTCACATTTTTGAACTAATTTTTCATGTTTCTTCTAATATTTTATGCTTTTTCCTATAAATTTTTAGTTAGCATGTACAAAACGCTTATGTTCGAGGATTACCCCTTAAGCTCAAGCTTCAAGAAAATAGCTTATATGACTCATTAAAACATACATACACAAACACAGACACACTCATAAATACATACATGTAAACCATTCATACATGGATACATATGTGCACAAATGAATGTATGTGTGTGTGTGCGCGCAAGTAAGTAGGTAAATGTATGGCTACGCTTCAGTAGTCATGCATGTGCATGTATGCCTACAATGCGGATATAACAGGAATTTCCATTCACTCAATAGTGCATTTCTTGAGTGAATGGAATAGTTGAGGAACATATAATATAGGCTACGTTGAGTCTGGAATCCAACTATCCAAGTTTTATAATGTTAATCAGTACACATCCCTGATACAATAGTTTAGTGAGGGTACAACCTTCTCCCCAGCATATGTTTTAAGAATATGTTTCATGGTAAGCCCAAATTTCCAGATCAAGGCCAGGGTGAACATGATTTTAACTGTACAGTTCAAATTGACCAGATAATCAAACAAGACAAAAACCACGAGAAGAGAAACGGAAAAAGCTGGCGATGGCAATTGCAATGGCTCAAGAGTCAGTCAAGCATAAAGAACCTGCGAGCTCGAGGGGGTGAGATCACATAAGGCCCTTGGTGCATCGATGGCCTTCCAATAAACAGAGAAGCACACCTTCTCCTTCTTTCCATTCTTCTTCTCAACCTCAGCAGTTGTGGTAGCCATGGTTGTCGGCCTCATACGAATATATCCCACCGCTACATGAAGGTTTCTCCCCACGACATAGATCCTCCCATTGGTGGCATTGGCAGAGAAGGGCTTACAAACCTGCTTCGGTACAGGGGGCCCATCAACCGCATCCCATGAATCGCTCTCCACATCGTAGACCTTGAGCCTCATCCTCTCGTGCTCTGAAACCACAAAAAGATGCCCGTGCAACACAAGGCTTGCCCCCGTCCAACCCTCCGTCATTCCTGCAGCCATGGTCTCCCACTTGTCAGTCTCTGGGTCATAGACCTGCCCCCTTGGCGAGAACGAGAAGGGCCAAAGCCAACCCTCGGTGACATAGAGCTTCGCATCCAAGACCGCCGCATCATAGGAAGCCATGTTTGCCCCCATTTTGGCAATTGACCTCCAATAACCCTTCATGGGGTCGAATACCTCAGCTGAGTTGAGCTCGAAGAGGTCAGTGCTGTTGCCCCCCGCTGCATATATACGCCCATTTATCATCCCACTTGCGAAGAAGGAACGGGGAGTGAGCATATGGTTCATGACAGTCCACCGGTTCCGGTGAACCTCGTATTTCAGGACCCGGTCCATGGGGCAGTCAATGTCCGAAAGCATGCCCCCACACACATAGAGGGCGCCCTGCTCAGACATGGCTATGCAGCCGAACCCTGGGGGACAGACCCTGTCCTTGCAGGGCATGGAGGGAAGAGTATGCCAGCAGAGCCTCACCAGGTCCAGTACCTGCCACTGGATCTTTCCAGTGCATCGGTGGAAAGAGAAGACGAAGAGCCATGGCTCGACAAGGCCGAGCTGGCGACGGAGGGTGAAGAAGGTCTCCTTGTTGAGGAGGAGGGACCGCCAGCGTTTGCACACCGGTCGGCATAATGGGTGGGCATGGACTGGGATACGAAGGAGGCAGTTGAGGGCGATATCATCCGGAAGCCCAGGAATTAAAGGCAGAAATTCTCCTCCTCCTTCAGATTCTGATAGAGAAGATGAGGGAGAAGGAGAGAAGGCATTGAGCTTGAATTTGGGGGATAAGGTCATTTGGGAAGCACCCAGTTTGTGAACAGGGGATTGGTGTGAGGAAACCCTAACACGCTGCATTCTCGTTTATCTTTAAGAACTGATGCTTCCTCTTTACATATTTTTGTTCAGAGTCAAAAGAGATTGGAGTGCGTTTTTCTGGTAAAATATGCGAGTTTATAGCCTTAACAACATAATTCAAAAGATAGCAAGCAGCAGAGAAGAACAGGGGAAAGGAAGAAACGCAGTCCGTGGTCTTGTTGTGGATGAAAGAGAGAGAGTGTGCAAGACACTCAGTCTCTACCTATGACTTCCTCCTGCTTCAATGAAACACAACAGAAGAAAGACAGGAAATGAATGGAAGAGAGAGAGAAGACGTCTTCTTGTTTGTTTGTGTGGAGAGAGAGCGTGGGCAATCCGCTACTTGCTTTGCACTTTGCACCTGCGCATTAATTTTCTAACCTTACCCGTGAAACAATCCCCTTCCCCACGCCTCTCTCTATCTCACTGCGGTTTCTATAGACCCTAGCCTCTAACGATCAAAATTAGAGCTGACCTCTTTCGAAAAAATGATATATTTTTATTTTTTATTATAATCAACAAAAATTTGAAAATTTTAAAAATTAACGGTCCAAAAATACATTGCAATATACACTATTTCTCAAACTCGAAACCTATTTTTTTATTCACGTCCATACATCTTGAAACGGAGATGATCAATTTGAAGATATTTAAACATCAAAACAACCCCTTCTAGTTAAATTTTGAAATAAGCTTTAATTTGATTGTTTAGAGCCTAGGTTCTATATAAACTTTTTCCATGTGCAATTCCTTTTCCAGTGGAAGCGGAAGGAAATCCACCGTTAACAAATATTGATTCTAGGTAGAGGACAAACAAGTTTCAGTTTCATGCCAAAATAATATTCTTCTCCTTCGGAAGTATACTCTTTATTTACTCCCTCTCATAGAAGTTTATCTGATTAATTATAGGACCCCAATTTTTAGGATATAACCATAGGTTAAATCTTAATAAAAAATTTCTTAATTACGCCTTCTAAACACTTCGGAAAATAATGTCTCAAGATTAAATAGAAACCATTTAATATTTACAGGGATAGATCTAAGTATTAAAAAACTCAAATTTCAAAATCTTTCTTATGATAACAATCATCTGGTGATTCATAGGTGGTTCCTAAAATTTCAGATTGAAAAAATCTTCCAAGTAGGCCATTTGACCAAAGGAGTAGAAGTAAATGTGCTTATTTATATGGGAGTAATTTTTGGGTCGTTTGAAACGTATTATGTTCTAGATGAGCGATGTTAAAAAATAAAAATAAAAAAATTTATTTTGAATTTTAAAGGTCTAAATCTTAAAATTCACCAAATAGACATTCTCGATTCATTATTGGAGGGACCGCATTTTGAGCTTATCTAAGTTGGTAACCGTTGTTTCCTTTTGGGGGTTAATTTTTTGGGATAAAGAGAGTGCTTGTGCAATATTTAGGATCCACCGACATGGTTCTTAGAAGTTGATTTCATTATAATATAACGATAGTTTCATGCAATGGTTTTATAGAAATATAAAAAAACAATAGTCAGGTTGTTACAAAAAATGAATATATATGTATATATGCATAAAGAAAAAAGTTTATACAAGGCCAAAATCGCAAGGATGAAGTTTATACATGGCCTAAGCTTTATGAAAACAAAATAAAGCCTCATCTCAAATCCTCATCCAAAAATCACTTTGGGCATCGAAAACCTCTATGTTGGTTCTAAAATCAATTTTCAACAAGAGAAATAAAAAATGATACTTAAAAAATAGTAAAGATCTTGCATATCTATTAATACTTATTTTTAGGATGAAATGGATGGTCTAAATGATTTGTTGCAATATACTATATTTTCAGAACTTGAGATCCTAATTTTTTTTCACAACCATAATGTTCAATCTGAGATGATCGATTTAAAGGTTTTTCAAGGCTTGAATTACAATTTTTTATGAGTTATGAGGTAGGGCTTTACTTATTTTAATAGCGCTGCAACCCTATCAAACTATTTTCCATTTATTACAAAAAAAGTTCATAAAGGTGAGACCGTAAATAATTAAATTAAAGCGCACCTCAAAAGTTCACTAGAAAAAGTTTGTCTTGATGCCCAAAAATCCTCAAATCAATCATCGCAACCTCAAGATATATATACATTAGAAAAAACGGATTCAAGTCTTAAAAATAATGTATCTTGTAATACATTTTTTGGACTGTCAGTTCTCAATATTGTCAAATGTTCATAGATCTCCTTGAACTAGACAATTTTAGAAGATTTAACTTTTATAATTAGAGATGACAATAAATTTTCAGACCATCACAAATATTTTCAATACTGAAACAACGAATTTTTTGTCTCAAACTATAAAATAAGTATTGTAAAAACATAAAATGACCAAACCGCCCCTTGAATATGGTATTTTACCGTATCGAATTTTTATATGGTAGTGATGTTGTCAAGTTGATAGATCTAAAATTTTAACTTCATCTGATTTATAAAAAGAAATATCAAAATGTAAATAATAACATAAATTTTCTATCTGATCAAGATCTAGGGTATAATCTAAATTGTTGTTCTTTTTATGTGTGAACCCATGTCGACCTGACTCAGCTCCAAGTCCAGACCCAAACACAAGACCTAGCGGATTAGGTTTAAGGCCATTCGACTTGGACTTGACTACAGTAAGCAATACAGGTCCATCTAGGACCTTGATGGGTCGAGGTCAGACCGAACCTGATATGCGTGTGTGTCATTACCCATAGTTTACATATATTATAAAATACTTACAGAGTCCGGTTTGTATATGGCTGAGGCCCTAAACAATTAAAGGTACACCTTGTCGAAAGATGTTTTTCAGCACTATAAATATTTGTGACAGTCTGAAAACATAAATTTCATATCTAGTTACGAAATTTAAAGCATAAAAAATAGTGTAGATCGAGAAAATCTATAAAGATTTGAAAATCTTGAAAATTGACGGTAAAAAAAATGCACTATTTCCAATACTTTGAAATCCAAAATCTATTTTTTCTTATTTTTATATATCTTTATCTTGAGGTCAATATGATCGATTTGAAGATTTTTGGGCATCAAAACAATATTTTCTAGTTAATTTGTGGTGTGCCTTTTAATTTGATTGTTTAGGGTCTCATCCTTATCTAAACTTTTTTTTCATACTTTTTTTCGTAGTTATCTTTTAATATATGTTTTTATTTAAACCTGGACCTAACCCAAGCCGATAGGTTAGGTTCGGGTCGGAGTGAAACCGGACCGGAAATTGAATATTGTTGTTCTTGATTTTGGCAATTGAGAAAATGCCTATTTCTTACCGTTTTCAAACAACATGGATATAGCTACAAGACATCCAAAGGGACATGTGAGGTGACCTCAGGACCTATATTATGAATTGGGGTCATGTTTTAGATGACAATACAATTTTCTTTATATAAGGTTGCAACTTTAAAATGTATCGGAGAATGTTGTTTCAATGTTGAAAAACCCTTTAATTGATCATCTCGACATCGAGATATATGAATATGAAAAAAAAAAAAAGAAGATTATGAGTCTCAAAAATAGTACATCTTGCAACACATTATCCAGACCATCGATTTTCAAGATTTTCATATGTTTATAAATCTACTCGATTTCAACCATTTTTGGATTTTTAAATTTTATAATTAAATTTGAAAATAAATTTTCAAATAATCCTAAGAATTTTTTATACCAAAATTATATGTTATAATAAAATTTGGAAGTGCACCTTAATTGGATTGTTTAAGGTTGCAACCCTTCTTTAAATGTTTAGACTTTAGAATGTCAAAAAGTTACTTCACAAATTTCTAGTTTCATTGGAGATCTAGGAGGAAAGCGAAGGTCCACGCCTCAAAGGTTTCCTTGTTTTCCTCCCTTTCAATTTTATTTTTCCCGTGTTGTTTTGCAGATTTGTGGACCCAAGAAAGAAGATGCTTGCTTTTCTCCAAAAAAACAAACCAATTGCTTAACAAGGTGAACAACCACCAAAAGATATGAGTTGTCTATAATATTAACAAGTATAAATCACCGTCTTTGAGAGAGAGAGAGAGAGAGAGAGAGAGAGAGAGAGAGAGAATGTATGTGTTAGTTGGGTTGATGCTTTCCAACTTGGTGCAGGTATTGACTGTTAATTTCTCTTGGGGACCATTACAAACTTCATACATGGCATGAACCCCCAACTGTGTGAACATTAAAAAAAAAGTGAACTAAGAAGCAATGTATTTATAACCTACAAATATTTTAAACCATAAGTACAAATTATTTAATATTATTCTAAAGAGTGTACTTTGTGTAAGATATCAATTTTAGAAAATCAAAAACCAAAGTAACACACACTCTCAAATATTGCCGAAAGAAAACCCCTATGATAACTTAAAAGTCTATTTCATCAATTTAGAACTCTAAAAAAGCTGCAGATCGAGCAAATTTATAAACACTTGAAAATATTAAAAATGTATGACCTCTATAATATATTACAAGATGCACTATTCTTAGAGCTTGAAACCTTTTTCTTCTTTTTTTCCCTCCCAAATTTCATACATCTCGACGTTGAGTTAATCAAATTCAGTGATTTTCAGCATCATAGCCACCTTTTTCGGTAGACTTTTGAAGCACAGCTTTTCTAATATAAAGTCTGACATATTTTTTTCCTATTTTATTCTTTGGTGTAGTAATTTTGAAGAAACTTATTCATGAAAAGAAGAATATGCCATTGTTTTCAGAATCTAGTGAAAAGGATGACTCTAATATTGATCTTGTTACATTACTTCCCTAGGCTTCAGAATATGGAGGCACACATTGGAAAAGAGGTATACAGAGCATTCAAACAAATAAAATAGAATTCTAATACTTTGATGGCCTCTCACACAAAGTTCATCTCTGTTCCTCGAAAGACCAAAGGACGGTCATTGGTCAAAATCTGGTGAGACTGTGAACTCGAAGGCTAGTGAAAATAGGGTGAGACTGTCTTAGAAGGATTTGATCTAAACCCATACGAGAGTGCCAGAGGCCTTTGTAAGAGTTTTGGTGAGAGTGTCAAAGGTCTTTGTGAGGGGAAAACTGGGATAGATAATGAGGAAGTTGCCTGGAGGGTGGGAGAGAGGCACATGCCGCAGTTGAGGATGCTGCCCTCGTTTAACCTATCTATTTATTTTATTGTCAACAATAAAACTTTATTTCACTAAGTACAAAACTGATCTACAAATACAAATGTGTCCATTACATCTACAAAATTTGAGTTTAGGTACAAGACTCTCCCGAGCCGACCCTAAATAGTTGGGAAAAAGCTTTGATGATGATGACTCTTCAGACGAAAAGATACAGCAAAGCTAGTGTCTGTTCTACTCCTTCTGTGAGTGCATCAGCCCCCATACTAGTTTATCTGCATGAATAAAACACATCAAGGTCATTATGGTTGGTTTGGTGTGGGATTGCTGGTGGCAAATTTCATGAAGACAATCTCGGCGTCGCACTGGATGGTGAGTCAGGCTTTCCCTTGAGCTCTTTCCGATGGGAGGTAATATCTTTCATGTGAGTTTTAGTACCCACTAAGCCTTGAGAGGTCCTGAACATATTGCCGATAAGCTTTTGATTCCCGGCCTACTTGCAGTATGAATGTTTGGGTCTCAGTGGTGGTGGTGGTGGTGGTAGTAGGGCCAGTGGGAGTTTGAGCGTAGCAGTAGGGCTGATGAGGTAGGTGAGGTTGTCAGGGGGTAAGGCTAAAAGGGCAGGGGGTCACATTCACATGATGCCACGAGGAAGAGATGAAGAAGAAGGGTCGGTTCATGAGAATAAGAAGCTGCAATTGTTTATTTGCAGATTCTAATGACGGTAGAAGTTAGTGTTGATTGGGTTATAGTGTGAGGTTGGGGGATGATGGGATTGCTGAGATTGTTTTTACCTTTGAGATTTTTTCAAGGCAAAGTGTTCCCTATTATGGGCAGTTTGGTGGTTACTAAGGCTTGGGACGTCCTGAACTTGCAGCCACCATATGCACATGAGAAGGTTTTGATTCCCGTCCACTTCTAGGAGGAACAGCTTGTAGAGCTCGTTTGGCGGTAACAGTATCGTTTGGTCCGACAATGATGGTCCTAGTACCAGAGTCATTTTAGGCATGGTGATGGTGGTGGCAGTAGTATTAGTGGGAGTCAGCATGGTGGGGCTGATGGCCTCGGGGAGGTTGTTGGGGGTAAGGCCAAAGGGCAGGGTGACACAGTGATGGGATGCCAAGAGGAATTGTGCGTTCCATTGAAAGAAGACGGTTCATGAAAAGAAGAAGAGGCCCTTGTTTTTGCGGATTCTCTTAACAGGGTAAGCTCTATTGCTGATTGGATTGCTTGGTAAGGCTAGGTTCTCTAGGCTCAATAAAGGGAGAAAAAGGGACACACATGCAAAACTGTGAAGCTAGAGAGAGGAACTAATTCGATATATATTAGAAATAGAAACTATAGAAGAAGAAAAACATGGTTTCAGAGAGAGAGAACCAAGACAGAAAGAGAGATGTTTTGAGGGCTGTGGGTTGGGTGAGCCACTGGGTCATAGCCTATATATACACTAAGCTCTATTGGAGTGTTTATCAACAAGAAATAAAGGCTGACATGTGTTTGTCTGTTTCAGCTCCTTTCTTTCCTCTTTTTACCAACCTTTTGTGCATGCTCTAGACTTGGAGGAAAACTGCAACGGCATACATAGATGTAGCAGGGCCAGTAAACGAACCCTATGCTAAAAACATTGTATCTCAAGTTCAATTCCTACCATTAAATTACTTCAAAAACGAGAAAGGATGGCAAGGGGTGGCCGGAGCTGGATCCGAAAAAAAAATCATTGGACCCGGATGCGGAGCCAAAAAAAAATTATGAGACCTGGACCTTGACCAGATTGGACCCGACCCAAAAATAAAAAATATATATCTAAATGTTACGTTACATAGGTATATGTATTAGTTAAATATTATAATTAAAACAGTTATATTTATTTAAATATTAATTAAATGTTATTATAATATTATTTATATAATAATACTATTCAGGTCGGGTCCACATGGATCTCAACCTGGACCGAGACCCAACCCGCCAAAATCAAATTCTTGGACCCATACCCAGACCCGGATCAGTCCCGGGCCCATTGCGACCCCAAGGGGCAGAGAAAAATTGGAAAGGGGAGAGAGAGGTGATGTACCCAAATGATAAGAAACAACTTTATTTCCTATTATGGGAGCCTCATCCTTATCCTTGGCCCTATCCTATTGTCATCCTTTTGCATGCCCTCTAAAACTGCTACTTTGCCCACCACAATTTCCAAATGCCACCAAACTTACATTGGGTTCTTTCTTTCGAGATGTGTCTAAAAGATCATGATGCTTTCAATTTTTAATTATTTTAATTAGATGGTATAGATTTGACATTGTCAGATTTTGACATTGTCTTAGAAAACATGTCAAATCTACACCATCCAACTAAAATAGATAGTCTAGAACACCAAAAACTTACTTCTACATTAAAATAGATGGTATAGAATACTAGAACCTTACTTCTACAAATAAGGTTACCGCCTTTAGCCTTATTATATAAACTGCACCTGAGTTTACTATATGTCTATGTTTACTCAACGCATTTACTATACCCATGTGCTTGTGTGTAGTAGATATAAACTAGTAATTAGCTGAAGGCATTGCAGTTAAAGTGATGGGTAAGTAAATTTGAACAAATATTATAGTGAAAGTATGTAGAAATACTATGTATAATACAACTCACATAAATTTTCAAAATAAAAAGCTGGTCTTTTCCCATAGTTTTATTGAGAAAATACAAATCCTTTAAGTGAAAAATATTAGAAATTAACACAATATAAAATTTCCTATTTCTTCCTAATTTGACTTATTTTATGAGAAGTAATGTTAACAATAAACCAAAAGTTAAATTTTCAGGGTTTTTTTGTAAGATTTTGTCAAATGAATAACAGCCAAAATAGAAATAATACAAAGGGGCATTTTTTTTTACAATTTTTTAAAAGCATCAATATTTAATGGGAAAACTTCATCTCTTTTT